CCCTTCCTTAAAATTCGTTTTCCTAAATATACAAGCGCGTCTATTCCTTTATGAGTTTTGATTCAACATTTGAAGTATTTTTATCAGTTTCTAGTTCTGAATCCATGTTTTACCGAAACACACACACAAATATATTTTACACCATCTTTCTCAGAAATGTAAGCAACTTTGAATTTTTCAAGAGTAAAAGCAATCCATTGCATCAAATCAAAAGTGAAATGAAAATTTCGAGATCAAAGCATTTACGTTCGAGACAGCCGCTTTCAATCTAAGACGGCTCCAAAATCAAAACCAAATGCCCGGGTGGGATCGAACTCACGACCTTCAGATTTCTCCAAGTTGAGGATTATGAGACTGACACGCTGCCTACTGCGCTACCGAGGCTCAGTTTGACATAAGAATTTTATACATGGTTACGTCATTGTTTGTGTAAGAATTCTTAAATAGTTTTCCTACAAAATTCCGGTTTTTCAACCGTAACGGAATATTAGCCGATAAAGGCGTTATCATCCTTCGTGACTATTGAAACACTTTGTGCGCATATTGATAGAGCGTAATGTAAATTGGTATTTAATTTTTATAATAACTTTATGAAATATGCCTGAAAAGAACATTAATTTTAAACAATGAAAACAAACTATTCAACAGAAATTTTAAAATTTATTAGCATCATTTAAAAAATTTCGTTTGCCTCAAAAGGCCCTTGTTACTTTTATATACATAGAATTAATGTTTTTATCATCAAAATTTTTATTTTCTTTTAAATTCCGTCTTTTCCAACTCTTACCAGGTCTGAATTCGAGATGTATACTGTGATAGGTTTCAATACCATCTGTTGCAAAACGTAAGGTTCCACCGAGATTTGAACTCGGATCACTGGATTCAGAGTGCTAACCATTACACCATGGAACCCAAGTTTCCCACGCCGGGAATCGAACCCGGGCCGCCTGGGTGAAAGCCAGGAATCCTAACCACTAGACCACATGGGAGTCATTCGGGACGAACAATTGTACGTCTTAATTCCAATTTCTCTCACATTTACATCATTAGTTCTATTTCTATACACTTGATTTTAATTTTTGTCGAAAAAACATTTTTACGTCGAATTTGAGGACACGAGATCGATGAGAAACAATTATTCCTTTCCACAATATCATTTCTTGATGAAAGCACACTGAACTTCTCCCAAACTTTAAATTTATGATACAAAACGCATTTCAAGACTTTCGCTTGGTACTGTGTTTCTTGAAAAGGAAATTTACGCGATACAGGCTTTTTCGCATTAAAAGTTATCACTCTTCTATAACCTTTCAGATTCCGATTTATTGAAGGGGATAAAAACTTTCTGAGAGGTGACAACTACTATATTCTTTTGTCATATGTAAAAGCAATAAAGGTTCCACCGAGATTTGAACTCGGATCGCTGGTTCGAAGTCAGAGTGCTAACCGTACTACCATGGAACCAACTTCCATGCCGGCAATTGAACTCGGGCCGCCTGAGTGAGAGCCAGGAATCCTAACCACTACATCACATGGGACTCCCTTGAAACACATTCTGTTTTCCTAAATATACAACGCGCGTCTGTATTCCTTATGTAAGTTTTGATTAAACATTTAAAGTTTTTTTTTATCAGTTTTCTGTTCGAACCCATTTTTTACCGAAACACAAAAAAATATATTTTACACCATCTTTCTCAAAAAGTAAAAACGTTTTCAAAATAAAGCAATCCATTGCTCAAATAAAAAGGGTGAAATGAAAATTTCGGATCATAAACTTTTCGTTTGGCGCGCTTTCAATCTAAGACGGCTCCAAAAAATCAAAACAAATGCCCCAGGTGCTCACGACCTTCAGATTTCTCCAAAGTTAGGTTATGAGACTGACGGGCCCCCCCTACCGGGTCGGGGGACATAAAGGGAAATTTTTTCATGGTTTTTCATTGTTTTTGTAGAATTTTAAATAGTTTTTCCCACAAAAAACCCGGTTTTTTAACCCCCAAGGAAAATTAGCCGAAAAGGCGTTTTCATCCTTCGTGACATTGAAACACTTTGGCCAATTGTAGAGCTAATGTAAAATTTGGATTTTTTTTTATAATAACTTTTGAAATATGCCTGAAAAGAACATTAATTTTAAACAATAAAACAAAATATTCAACAAAATTTTAAAAATTTTTAAATATTTTAAAAATTTTTTCTTTAAAAGGCCCTTTTACTTTTATATATTTTTAAATTAAAAATTTTTTTTTTCTTTTTTTAAATTTTTCTTTTAATTTTTCCGTCTTAAATTTTATGTGATGGTTTCAATCCATCTGTTGCAAAAAAAAGGGGTTTCCCCCGGAAATTTTAAAATGATCCTGGATTCAAAATCCAGAGGGAACCCTTACACCTGGAACCCGCCCCCGCCGGGGAAACGAACCCCGGGGCCCCCTGGGTGAAAGCCGGAATCCCACCACTAGACCCCAAGGGTCATTCGGGACGAACTTTTAGTCAAAAATTTCTCCAGCACATCATTAGTTCTATTGCCCTTTTACAATTGATTTTAATTTTTTTTCGAAAGAAACATTTTTTGTGTTTTAACGCAGCTCGTAAAAAACAATTATTCCTTTTTAAATATTTTCTTGGAAAACTGAACTCTCCCACTCGGTAGAGAAACAATTATTCCTTTTCACGATATCATTTCTTGTGAAAGCACATGAAATTCTCGTAAATTTTAAAGTTAGATACAAAACGTATTTCAAGACTTTCGCTGGGTACTGTGTTTCTTGGAAAGAAAATTTACGATACAGGCTTTTTCGCATTAAAATTATCACTCTTATATAACCTTTCAGATTTCGATTTATTGAAGGGGATAAAACTTTCTGAGAGGTGACAACTCCTATATTATTGTCATATGTAAAAGCAATAAAGGTTCCACCGAGATTTGAACTCGGATCGCTGGATTCAAAGTCCAGAGTGCTAACCATTACACCATGGAACCCAAACTTCCCATGCCGGGAATCGAACCCGGGCCGCCTGGGTGAGAGCCAGGAATCCTAACCACTAGACCACATGGGACTCCTTGAAACACATCCTGCTTTTCCTAAAAGTACAACGCCTGTATTCCTTTATGTAAGTTTTGATTCAACATTTGAAGTATTTTTAGTCAGTTTTCTAGTTCTGAATCCATGTTTACCGAAACACACAAATATATATTTTACATCATCTTTCTCGAAATGTAAACAACTTTGAATTTTTTAAAGAGTAAAGGCAATCCATTGCGTCAAATCAAAAGTGAAATGAAAATTTCGAGATCATAAGCATTTACGCTCGAGACAGACGCTTTCAATCTAAGACGGCTCCAAAAAAATCAAAACTAAATGCCCCGGGTGAGGATCGAACTCACGACCTTCAGATTTCTCAAAGTTGAGGATTATGAGACTGACGCGCTGCCTACTGCGCTACCGAGGCTCGGCGGACATAAGGAATTTTACGCATGGGTACGTCATTGTTTGTGTAAGAATTCTTAAATAGTTTTCCTACAAATCCGGATTTTGAACCCGTAATGGGATATTAAATGTTTTCAGAAGCCGCTACATTCGCTATCATCCTTCGTGACTATTGAAACACTTTGAGCGCAATTCGGTAGAGCATAATGTAAATTGGGATTGAATTTTTATATTAACTTTTTGAAATATGCCTGAAAAGAACATTAATTTTAAACGAATAAAAATAAACTATTCAACAGAAATTTTAAAATTTATTAGCCTCATTTAAAAAATTTCGTCTGCCTCAAAAGGCCCTTATTACTTTTATATATATAGAATTAATGTTTTTATCATCAAAATTTTTAATTTCTTTTAAATTCCGTCTTATATTGTGATAGGTTTCAATACCATCTGTTGCAAAATATAAGGTTCCACCGAGATTTGAAATATGATCGCTGGATTCAGAGTCCACAGAGTGCTAATCATTACACCATGGAACCCAAGTTTCCCACGCCGGGAATCGAACCCGGGCCGCCTGGGTGAAAGCCAGGAATCCTAACCACTAGACCACATGGGAGTCATTCGGGACGAACAATTGTACGTCTTAAATCCAATTTCTCTCACATTTGCACATCATTAGTTCTATTGTTTTTATACAATTGTGATTTTAATTTTTGTCGAAAGAAACATTTTTTACGTCGAATTTGAGGACACGCAGACTCGGTAGAGAAACAATTATTCCTTTTCACGATATTATTTCATGTGAAAGCACATGAAATTCTCGTAAATTTTAAAGTTATGATACAAAACGTATTTCAAGACTTTCGCTGGGTACTGTGTTTCTTGGAAAGAAAATTTACGATACAGGCTTTTCGCATTAAAATTATCACTCTTATATAACCTTTCAGATTTCGATTTATTGAAGGGGATAAAACTTTCTGAGAGGTGACAACTCCTATATTATTGTCATATGTAAAAGCAATAAAGGTTCCACCGAGATTTGAACTCGGATCGCTGGATTCAAAGTCCAGAGTGCTAACCATTACACCATGGAACCCAAACTTCCCATGCCGGGAATCGAACCCGGGCCGCCTGGGTGAGAGCCAGGAATCTAGCCACTAGACCACATGGGACTCCCTTGAAACACATCCTGCTTTTCCTAAAAGTACAACGCCTGTATTCCTTTATGTAAGTTTTGATTCAACATTTGAAGTATTTTTAGTCAGTTTTCTAGTTCTGAATCCATGTTTACCGAAACACAAATATATATTTTACATCATCTTTCTCGAAATGTAAACAACTTTGAATTTTTTAAAGAGTAAAGGCAATCCATTGCGTCAAATCAAAAGTGAAATGAAAATTTCGAGATCATAAGCATTTACGCTCGAGACAGACGCTTTCAATCTAAGACGGCTCCAAAAATCAAAACTAAATGCCCCGGGTGAGGATCGAACTCACGACCTTCAGATTTCTCAAAGTTGAGGATTATGAGACTGACGCGCTGCCTACTGCGCTACCGAGGCTCGGCGGACATAAGGAATTTTACGCATGGGTACGTCATTGTTTGTGTAAGAATTCTTAAATAGTTTTCCTACAAATCCGGATTTTGAACCCGTAATGGGATATTAAATGTTTTCAGAAGCCGCTACATTCGCTATCATCCTTCGTGACTATTGAAACACTTTGAGCGCAATTCGGTAGAGCATAATGTAAATTGGGATTGAATTTTTATATTAACTTTTTGAAATATGCCTGAAAAGAACATTAATTTTAAACGAATAAAAATAAACTATTCAACAGAAATTTTAAAATTTATTAGCCTCATTTAAAAAATTTCGTCTGCCTCAAAAGGCCCTTATTACTTTTATATATATATAGAATTAATGTTTTTATCATCAAAATTTTTAATTTCTTTTAAATTCCGTCTTATATATTGTGATAGGTTTCAATACCATCTGTTGCAAAACATAAGGTTCCACCGAGATTTGAAATATGATCGCTGGATTCAGAGTCCACAGAATGCTAATCATTACACCATGGAACCCAAGTTTCCCACGCCGGGAATCGAACCCGGGCCGCCTGGGTGAAAGCCAGGAATCCTAACCACTAGACCACATGGGAGTCATTCGGGACGAACAATTGTACGTCTTAATTCCAATTTCTCTCACATTTGCACATCATTAGTTCTATTGTTTTTATACAATTGTGATTTTAATTTTTGTCGAAAGAAACATTTTTTACGTCGAATTTGAGGACACGCAGACTCGGTAGAAGAACAATTATTCCTTTTCACGATATCATTTCTTGTGAAAGCACATGAAATTCTCGTAAATTTTAAAGTTAAGATACAAAACGTATTTCAAGACTTTCGCTGGGTACTGTGTTTCTTGGAAAGAAAATTTACGATACAGGCTTTTTCGCATTAAAAATTATCACTCTTATATAACCTTTCAGATTTCGATTTATTGAAGGGGATAAAAACTTTCTGAGAGGTGACAACTCCTATATTATTGTCATATGTAAAAGCAATAAAGGTTCCACCGAGATTTGAACTCGGATCGCTGGATTCAAAGTCCAGAGTGCTAACCATTACACCATGGAACCCAAACTTCCCATGCCGGGAATCGAACCCGGGCCGCCTGGGTGAGAGCCAGGAATCCTAACCACTAGACCACATGGGACTCCCTTGAAACACATCCTGCTTTTCCTAAAAGTACAACGCCTGTATTCCTTTATGTAAGTTTTGATTCAACATTTGAAGTATTTTTAGTCAGTTTTCTAGTTCTGAATCCATGTTTACCGAAACACACAAATATATATTTTACATCATCTTTCTCGAAATGTAAACAACTTTGAATTTTTTTAAAGAGTAAAGGCAATCCATTGCGTCAAATCAAAAGTGAAATGAAAATTTCGAGATCATAAGCATTTACGCTCGAGACAGACGCTTTCAATCTAAGACGGCTCCAAAAAAAATCAAAACTAAATGCCCCGGGTGAGGATCGAACTCACGACCTTCAGATTTCTCAAAGTTGAGGATTATGAGACTGACGCGCTGCCTACTGCGCTACCGAGGC